AGCGTGCCCCCGCCGCCCCGACGTGCCCTGCGCCGCCGGCCCCAGCGCGAGCTCCTTCCTAAGCACCTCTGGCTGTCGCGACCACGCTTAAGTAACCTGTACGTCAGCAACAAGTATTTTTGTCTTTTATAATGCAAACCCAAATTTCTCCCCCAGGCCAGCTATCCAGGGCCAGCAGGCCGCCTCAGCCATGACTGTGCTTTTCTTCCTTCTTTTATTCTTTTGCCAACAAAAAAAAAAAAAAAGGTCTTGGCGTTACCTTACATTTTTTTCTTACTCTCCAATCTACTCATCCCAGACTTCCTAAGGAAAACCAGCTTAATGGCGAGCCCCTCGCCAAGTTCCTCTCGCCTGACAATGAGGTGATTAACAATGCCATCGCTTTTGCTTAAAAAGCAACAAACAACCCCCCTCCAGGCTGGACAGCAGCCGCCTTAGTCATTTAGTGCTTCCTGCCAGCCATATTTACTAAAAAACACTCTGACGTCCCAGCCCACTGCCAAAGACCTCACGGGACGAGGAATTTCAGTGGGCGCTGCTGGAGGGAGCTGCGAAAAGTGGGTTTGAAGGGAAAGGGCTGGAAAGGTGCTGGGAGCGGGGCCGGGGGTGTCCCGCCTGGGTGATGGGGGATGGCAGCACCGGCTCCGCTCCTGGCGTCGCCTCGGTTGCTGCCACGCAGGCTTGGGGAGAAGCAAACCTGCCCCCGGCCCCGAGAGCCCCTTTCCCGGCCACTGCAGCCAGCTCGGGCTCCTCACCTGCTGCGGCACCTTGAAGCGAACGTAGGAGCAAAGCTTCAGCATATCCGCCATCTCCTCGGGAGTCGAGGGAATTAAAGGGATCCTGTCGATGCCTTCGGACTCTTCCAGCTCCCGGAGCTGCTTAATGAACTTGCTGTCGGTGGTACATGGCAGGCCTGGGTCAAACGAGAAGGGGGGCACAAGCTGAAACCTGGACGAGACCTCAACAGCCCCAGCGACAGAGCATCGCTGTGTTGACCTCCATCATCCCTGCCTCTGGCCTCCCGCTAGCTCCATCATTAAAAAAAAAAATTAAAATAGAGGGGGAGAATAAAATCTGTACATACAGCAACCTTAATATGCGCCCAGAGATACCCCAGCCTCCTCCTGTTCCAGGGCTCGACACCAGTGAGCCCCGCCGGCTGACGCACCACGAGGTGCACTCCTTGCAGACAGGCATGAATACTTTGGCAAAACCCATAGTGTTTATTTTTATGTGGACAGCAGATGCAAATACTAATGCCCATGCCCAGCCTGCCACAGAAAAGGGTCAGACACAAAATTTCAGAAGCCCCACCCGCATGCACCCCTGTGGGGAAAAATCCCCCGGCAGCTTAACCCCAAACCTCTCTGCAGCCCCCCCGAGGTTTCACATCCAGAGGCACCCGGAGAGTCAGCGACGCCTCTCCCAGAGAGGAGGGGAAGCTTGCCGCCCCCGGAGCCCGGTAGCTAGGAAACGTTCGCTTTGCTTCATTACTTATTTCTTATCTGGGAGCCGCTTTCCTTGTGTGGGAGGGGAAGGAGCTGCTATAACAACCGGGATGCAGCAAAGCCCTCCCCGGCAGAGCCCTGCCAGACCCCCGTGCCTCCTGCCGCCTGTCATGCTCAGGCTCCACCGAGCCCCCCGGCCAAGGGGACCGCGGGGACGGAGGGGTGCTGCGCGGGCACAGGGACACCCTGCTGACCTGCACCCGGCCCCGAAGCGCTCTTCCCGCTTGGAGCACCCAAACATGGGAGCACCCAAACGTGGGAGGACAGAGCTCTCCAGCTCCCAAAGCCCCAGCCCTCCGGCACGCTGGGGCTCTCAAGAAGCCAGACTGGGGAGGCTTTTCCCATTGCTGCCTGCGCTCTCCCTCCAGAACCGAGGGGCTACAGATGTGCCACGTAAAGCAGATGCCACCCCAAGAGGAAACACATTTTCTTCCAGAGCAGGACTTGTCCCTTTTGCCCTAGTCCCAGCTCTAAGCACAGCAGAGCACGGCAAACTCCAAAGCCCTGGAGAAGAGCAGCCAGGACAAGGCTGTGATTTCCTCCCGTGCCCTGCCAGAGATTTTCAGACTGTACGTACAAATTATTGCGAAATGTTTTGCACTAAAAGCCTGTTTTGCTCCCAGCGCTGCCCTGGGCTCTTGCACCGGCTCCTGCTTGCCCTCTCCCTGTCTCGCCTCCCCTGCATTGCCCACCTGCAGGACAGATGAGGGTCAGGCTGCAAATGTCTTCTGGGTACTGAGCAGCATAGACGCCGGCAACGTTTCCCCCCATGGAAGTGCCAACCAGATGAAAGGGCCTTCTGTTCAGCTTGATGCACTCCACGAACTGGCAGGGGAGCAGAAGGAGCATTGTTAGGGGAGAGGAAGCAACGGCGTGGGGTCATTAGAGGAATTCAACTCAAAAGCTTGAGGTCGGTGGTTCTGGCTCCCTGGGAGCGGGGCTGCACGAGGCAGGGCTCACGGGGCTTAGCATCCCTCATTTCCCCACATCCCTCACGTTCCTGCATCCCTCTGCAGAAGCGATGCGATGCTGGGGCATTACCTGGTGTATTCTCTTAGCTTGCCCGCTAATGGAGTAATCGTCCAAGGCCGAGCGGGTCGTGCCCTCGTGCCCGGGCATGTCCACACACACCAAGTGCAGGTTCTTCGGCAGGAACTGCAGAAACAAACCGGGGTGGTTACAGTGCAGGGCAACTGCTGCAAAGCCCGGGGACGGAAACTGGTGACCACGGGTGGGAGCAGGAGGGTCGCACTCCTCCTAGCAGCCCTTGGTTACTCGTGCACCAGAATAAGTCAGCTCATGTACTGAGGATGACGTGATGAGAAACCATGGCCACGACTCGCTTCCCGTGGAGGAGGCAGGTGCGTACTGCTCTTCCCCTGCAGCTCTGCGTGTCGTAGGGATGACAGGGATCCAACAAGCAACAAGCACAGAGCTAAGGAGGGTATTTCTAGCATGTTACAGCGATCATCACATCCCATGCATGTTACCGTGGGGTCCCCACACCACCCTCAAGCCCAGGATCATCAACTCTCACTAAGTAGCAACATGATAGAAATGGAGTCCCACCTTGACTATAGAGAGCCACATGTCTTTGTGGGCTGAGAACCCATGTAGCATCAGGATGGACGGTCGGTATCCAGGTCTCCCTCTACAGGAATAACAAAACTGATAGTCGTCGTAGTTTGCATATCTAACCTGCATACCCAAGGCTCGGCGCCAGTACCTGGAAACAAGGAGAAAACGCCACCAGTGAGCGAGGCAAGACCGGGGCCCAGCGGCAATACAAGCCAAGCGACAGGTCCAAACTCAGCCGCAGATTTGCTTGTTTGCTAGGGCCAGTCAGGTTGGGCTCACACTGGTGCCGTCACGGCCCTAATCAGTCCTAATAAGGGACTGATTCTGAGCATCTGGTCCCTGGACCAGACCCTGTGCCTACGTGTGATCCCTTACACGTGTAGTACTGGTGGCTGGTTATTCATGGCTGCGCTGCAGATGGCTTGTGGAGACACTCTGTTTGTTAAAAGCTTCAAAAAAGACCACAAATAACTAATTTGGCAATGGAAATGGGCCAAAATAACCACTCTCAAACTGAAAAGACCCAGATATGAGGCGAGAGGCTCAAGAGAGGAAGGCAGAACACATGGAAGGCAGCGTGCAGGACGGGCAGGCCAAGGGAGGCACTTGTTCCAGGCGGATAAGGTGGATCTGTCCCGGGTTTATTTGGGCACAGCCCTGCAGCCATGGGCCAACATCACCCCACGGACAAGGATATCGATCCCAGCCAAACAACCGTGTCACCAGGAGCGCCACAGAAACCCGGTTCCCATATGGCAACTAGACGATCTTTAAAAAATGTGTTTACACACACACGAAGGGCTGGGGGGGACCATCCTTACCCAGGGTCAGACCCCCCAGAAGGTGCCGGGCTAACCCCAAGGAAACCTGGGTTATTCCTCTGAAAGCAAGAAGACAGACAGCTCCTGCCAACGCACGCCTGCAGCCTGCTCAAAGAGGATGCAGTGAAACTGCCGGCCAGAGGGGACCTGGGCAGAGATTATCTGTGACACTTCGGACACATGATGTGTACGTGCAGTCCCAGGCGGAGGAGCAGGCATGCTTTCTCTGCATCTCCCCTGTGCTCAGACGTAACCTTTGTCAGGACAACTACCGGGCTGCTCCCGATGGCCAAGATACTGGCAAATACTTTTATACGTGATATCAGAATTTATTTGGACACAAGAGCAAGGTCACCAACACTGCTGGGCTGTCCTAGCTCTCTGCCCACTCAAAGCTTATGCATAGTGCAATCCTCTTTTAGCATAATCCCTTTTTGGAGGGAGTTAGTGGGACTTAAGCAGCATCTCGGCTCTGTGCTGGTCCTACAAGGAGAGGTGAATTTCTCCCTGAATAAGTGTCTTAAGAGTCCTCGCCTCAAAGGCACTGGTGTAAACTACCGATGGGGAAGATGATAACATTTTTAGCAACTGATCCTGAAGGATCACTTCAGCAGAAGGCAAAATAATCTGTGCAAAGCTGAACTGATCCCTCGCAAGGTGTTAACGCGCTTAGAGGCAGCAGCTAAACTGATTAACCCCTGGCGGCAGAGCGGGCAGAGCGGGCAGGCTCTGCGGCCGGGGTCAGCGGGGCAGCCCTGGATGTCAGGCCCGGCAGGGAGGCGCGTTAGCTGCAGGGGAGGGAGCGTGGCCATCGGCGACGGGGACCCTGCGTGACCCTTGGCCGCGCCGGCTGAGGACACGCGGACCAGCACCAAGGAGGAGGAGGAGGGGGGTGGCGAGCGGTGGGAGAAGGGAGAAGCATCCCGGGACCTCCCGGGAGCGGTGCCACAAAGCTGGAGCCGCGGGGGGCTGAGAGCGGGGGGCAGCATGGCGTGCTGCCTGCCCCCGCTCCTGCCTCTGCTGATGGGGAGACACAATGATCTCACCCCCACAAAAGCCAACTCAGAAAGAAGCAAATAGGAAAGGAAGAGTGAAGGGCAAATCCGCCCTTCTTGCCCGCTGTCCCTGAGAAACGAGGTGCCCATGAAACACAGAGCATCCCAGTCACGCCTGCACGATGCCAATGCTACCAGAAACGCTGGGAGAGATGGGGGCACTCGCCCTTCAAAAGGAAACAGCCCTGCTGATCTCCGCTCACACGCTCCCTCCCTCAGCCCAACGCAGACCGACCCACCCACGCTGCCTTCTCCCTCAGCCCCTAGTTTGCAGCCCCGAAGGACAAGGAGGCAGGCGCTTCTCTACCTCCCGCTCGACCCGGCTCCTCAAAGCTCCCCGGCATCAGCCCCTTTCGCCTCCGCTGCCCTGTCCTGCCACCCCTGCCTGCGTCCCTCTGAAGGCTTCGCCCCGATCACACTCGCTCTGCTCTGGCACGGCAGCGTTTCTCCGCTGATCCTCCTCTGAGCCTGAGCCCATCAGGGTCCTCCCTGGCTTCCACTGTCTGCTCGTACATCCAAAGGGAAAAAACCCCCTTTGGCTGACAAACCCGGTGCTGTCCGGACCTGCCCCCAGGCACCAGCCCTGGCGTCCCCAGGGCAGGAGGCTGTCACACCGAGTGACGCTGGGGCTTGCAGGTCCCCACATGATGCACAACAGGAATAAATTCTCTCCCGTGCCGATCCAGTCGCTGGGGTTTTCATCCCATCCCCTCTCCTCTCTGTCAGCCCCCCAGTGCTCTGATTAAAAGGTTGCTAATAAACGCGCCGTTAGAAAAACAGGCTTCATCATGCTGCTGCGCCTGAGTGCCGGGTGCGTTAACGTCCTCCTCTCACACGAGGTCACTTTGATTTGGAAACACCCTGTGAGCAAAACTGCAGGAGCCACCATCTGCCAGCAGCACGTGAGGGCAGCCTGCCGCGCTGCCTGCTGCTGCCTGCTGCTGCCCGCTGCTGCCCGCTGTTGCCCACGCGGGCGACAAGACGCTGCCCCGGCTTCCGAAGGGAGCATATTCCAGCTCTCCTCTGCAACAAACCCAGGCAGGAAAGCTGCCAGCGTGCTTATCACCGATTTCTAGGGACAGCCGAGGACGGAAGGATGTAGCGCCTGCCTGCTGTTAATCGGAAAGGATGAGATGCAAGGGGGTAAGGAAAAGCATCGCTCCATCTTCTCTGATCTCCAGCCCAGAAGAGAGGGAGAGAATGAGAAAAGCCTCATCCATAACCTCGAGCGAGAGAAAAGCCCCTGCCTGCCGAGCAGGCTGTCAGGAGGGAGCGTGTGAGCCCGGGGAGCCGCGGCAGAGCCGAGGACACCCACACCGATGGCTGCATTGCCCAGGCAGGAGGTGCCAGGGCGGCCGGGGCTGCCGGGCTGGGGGACGGGCAGCAATGGCAATGCTTTTCCCAGCCACGGTCCCGTCCTTGGGGGAAACAACCCAGAAAGGTTCGGAGACGTCCCGCAGCCAGCTGAGGCTGCCCTGACAGACATAAGCCTCAGCAGCAAAAAAGCAATAAGAAAATGCTATTTTCTTCTCCTAGAGGTACTTAAAGCTGGTATGGCCCTGGAGAGCCCCACCCGACCTGCTCCTATCGCCACCAGGGGCGGGAACACCCCCCTCCGTCCGCACCACCAGCTCTTTGTGCAGCTGGGTGTGTGCGAGGGTGCGGGGACCCGCTGGGGACCAGCAGTAATTCCACCCCGCCACTAAAATGAGAGCAGCCAGGCTAACGAACTCACCAGTAGTAGATGCGGATGAGCGCCGAGGGCCAGAGGAGGAAGGAGGCCACGAAGGCCAGGATGGGGATGGCCAGGGTGCCGCCGGCGATGACAAACATGTTCAGCACATCCAGGTCCATGCTGATCTTCACCGCCTGGCCTCACCTGCCCGCATTTAGGGAAGGATCAGAGGTTAAACACCAGAAACGATGACGAGTTTATGCTAAATGAGATCTCTGCTGCCAGGGAGAGAGGAAAGCGGCTCTGCGAGAGGCAAAGGATGCTGCTCAGGAGCACAGTCAAGTCTCGTTCAGTTTTAAAACTCTATTATTTCTTCTGCCTCCTTAATGGATCTAATTATTGCAATGTTATCCTCTCAGGAGAGCACATAAACAGGCAATGAGCCTCCTAACAGGCACGGACCACGTCCGGGTGATGGGGCGTGACGTGGCGCTTGGGGCACTTTGCAGACAGGGGAAGCACAGCCCCGCCATGGGTGCAGGCAGCCTCTCCCCCCGATGGGTGCAGGCAGGGCTGCCTTAACGCAGGCTCCACGCTGCTTTTCGGAGGCAGGCGTCCAGCTCCGGCTCCCCTCCCCCTGCCCGATCCCAAATCCCCAGCACACAACCACTGACCTAGAATTGATGGCTTGAGCCCGCCTCTCATTACTGCTCCGCACAGGCACTAACTAATCAAGGGAGCAGAGCCTATTAATGGGCTCGGGAACTGAAGGAAACAACCTGGCAGGGTGCTCTTTGGCGACCAGCCCTTATCCGAGACAAATTGATCCCCGTCCCCACGTCCTCGCTCCTGCCCCGCGGGCATTTTGCACTGGCTGTCGCTCACAGGACCCATCCCAGCTCCCAACCATCCTTCAGGCAAATCTCAGGGGCGGCAGACGCAGGGTGCAAGGGCGAGCTCTCACACAACGCCATGCTCCTCCCTGAACTTGCCCCACCACCGGCAGCTGGGATATATTTTTCTCATTAAGAGATTAAACCCTGTGGCACACACATCTCTAATTCCCGCTGCTAACCACCTTATGTCCCACCCTTTTTGTCTAGCTCTCTTGTCACACATTTCTAAAACGAGATGTTTGCAATGCCTGCTCCCCCACCAGCCATCCCCCCCATCATCACCACCGCATTTCCCCGCGCTAGGACAGGCAGATTTATTTCTGTTTCCTGCGACTCACGGCGGTACGCGGTACGTTACATATTATGCCATGAAGCAGGAACCGAATCGCCGCAGTCACGTCCCCCCCGCCTCCGACGCTGTCACGCTGGATCACATCAAACCCCCACATTACACACCACCAAGAAAAACAGTTTACAGAACCTCTGAAGCAGCAGCCAGGTTTGCCCTCTTGCCCCAGGGAAAATAGGAATAACTGAAATATGAGGAATACTGTAAATATTTCCACCAGGCACTTCCTTAACAAAGCTAAACCTCATTTCCTTCTTCAAGCCTCAACAACACGCCATTATTCATTTAATTAACATTTTGTAGAAAGATCTTTGATCTCTGCATGGCTTGTTCGTAAATAAACACTTTGTGCAACAGATAAACCTCGTACGTGAGAGCAGGGCTGCACGGGAGCCCGCCCCAGAGCACTAAGAAGCATAGAATCATTACTGCTGCCTTTTGCTATGTCACTAAAACGAGGAAGAAATTAAGCGCGGAGAATCGCCATCATCCCCATCGGCGACCCGTGACAAGGGAAGGCTGCAGCTCGGAGAAAGCACGGGAAAAGCGCGGGGCGGTGGGAGCCCCCACGCTCCCCGGCGTGGGGTCACCGCCTTCGCCCCCGCCGCTATCGGAAAGCAAAACAAGGAGGAAGCCTTGAAAAAGCCCAGCTTACTTTGCAGAGATCCCCTCCTCCTCTCGCCACAGGTCCGGCTCTCTGGGGGTAGCGGCGGCAGCTGAAAACGCTGTTGGAAGAGGAAAAAAAAAAGGTTAAAATCACACTCCTGCTTTTTTTCCCCCTTTCAGACTTGGTAGCTGAGCGAGATGGCGAGTTTGGGGTATTTAAGCCACCGGCTTCCCTTCAGGACGCTTCATCTTCACTTTCTGACCAACCTTTCCCCTGTTTATGTAAATACAGTCTTTTGTACAACGAAGCCAAACAAGGGCACTTGTTCCAAGCAGGAACAAAGTGCAAGCTGCCATCCGAGACGAAGCGAAAGCCAGCCCAGAGCGGCGGGGGGGGGCGGGG